ACGCAGCTGAGGACGTACCTCGCCGCCCTGGACAAGATTGTCGGCATCCTCAAGGCCTTCCTGGCAAGCAAGGAGGCGAAGTGGTAAAAGCAAAGCGGAAATCACGGGGAAGGGAGAGTCCAGCTGGCGAGATATTTGGGGCATATACAATATGAAATCTCTGTCATGTTGGAAGGACAAGCTGTTTTGCGCATAACCACAGAACGGGAGAGGCCGGGCTGGAAGACCTCCGGAAGACATCAAGCCGTGAACATATGAGGGCATCAACCTGAGGACGGCGTTACCGACAAACACAATACATGATACGTCAGCGGGAGAGAGCCGGGGCAAGCGATCCTCGAATCGCACTTAAGCCACTTCGGATGGGGATATCGCAGCTAAAATAACGAGTTTCTGTTTTTGATCATCACCCAAGGACGCGCTGACATTTATTCCATCGTCAATTTTCCTGCTGCTTAAACTTGCCCAGGTTTATCCGTGGCTTACCCGTTACCGGCGTGTAAGATAAAGGCACAGGACCGCGCGGGATGATGTTAGAGTTCAATATGGCAGCATGTGGTTGGCTGGCCCGGCGGTTTCGTGGCTGACGGGTTACCGAATCAGGAAGAACAGACCGCAATGCATCTCGGATTCAACCCGACGACTGCCAGCAGATCTCCAATCCGTCGACAGGCTACACTACAGTTGTCACATTGGAATTGTCGACAAGCCCATCACAGAAAGATATAAATATGCCGCTTCCAGGTCCGCAACAACGTTGCCTTCTCTATGGGCATTGCTTACCACACGACCTACCCGCTTTCATACTTCCCATCTGCCCCCCGCGCGAAGCCCAAGCCAGCTGAACCTCACGTCATTTTGTTACTGATATACTGGTACCTCTACGCACGGTAACCACCTACACACAACCATTACCTCAAGTCAAGCTCAACGGATATCACCACAGCCAGACCAGACATCCTCTCAACCCCCCGTCTCCTCCTCATCTACAACCTACCAACCCACCCACCTACACCAAAACCATGACAATCTCCCACATCCTCATCCTCGGCGCCGGCCCAGCAGGCGCGGCCGCGGCCCTAGCCATCTCGCAAATACCCTCCTCTCCCCCTCTCCGCATAACAGTCCTCGAACTCCGCCCAAAACACGTAAAGACCAACAACCTCGGGGGCGCCATCAACCTCACACCCTCAGCGATGCGCTACCTAGACCGCATGGGCGTCGGCACCCAAGTGCGGCGCATCGGCATCCCCGTCGGCGGAGTAGACAACGTCGCCCTCCGCACCGGTAGGTTGTTGGGCACGCTGTGGAAGGGCGTCGACGCTTGTCGGGTGATGAGGGCCGATCTCGTCGGTGTCATGAGAGCTGGACTCGAGGGGAGGGAGGAGGAAGGGGTGGAGATTAGGTATGCTGTTAGGGTTGTGGAGATAAGGGAGGAGGATGGGAAGGTAACTGTCAAGCTCGACGACGGGGAGGAAGTGAAGGGAGATTTACTCCTGGGGTGCGACGGCCTGCACAGTGCGGCGAGGAGGCTGTACGTCGAACCCGAGCGGACCGGTTCGTACTCCGGCAAGGGCGTGGCGTACGGGTTCGCTAGAGTAAAAGAACCGGGCGACGCGGGGCTCGTGAGGGCGGACGGCGTGGCCGCGGTGGCGGACACGACGATGTTCACGGGCCGGTACGGGGCCGTGCTGGCGAGCTTTTACGAACCGACGAGGAAAAGGGTGTTTGTCGGCGGCGTGATGGGTTTGAGGGAGGAGAGCTTCGGGCCGGATGGCGCGGTCGGGTTTAGGGTTGGGGACGGGGACGTGGAGCATGTCAAGGGGGAGTTGAGGCGGAGGTTCGGGCATAGTGCCGTGGTGGGACTGCCCGGGTTGTTGGAGAGCGTGGAGGATTGGGCTTTGTTCCCTGTTTTTACGCTGCCGCCTGGGGGGCGGTGGGCGAGGGGACGGGCGTTGCTTCTGGGTGATGCGGCGCATACGGTGAGTCGGATAGGTCTGCTGTCTGTTTGTTTTGGGTGAGGGTTTTGCTGACGGTGATGATGAACTACTAGATGCCGCCTATGGGGGAGAGTATAGGGCTGTCGATCGAGGATGGCGCTCTTATTGCGAGAGTGCTGACGAGACACCGGGAGAGGAGTGTCAAGCAGATGTTTGCTGACTATGAGGCGCTTCGACGCGAGCCGATCAACAAGATTGATAAAGAGCTGACTTGGAGGTGGAATAACGCGCTGAAGGAGGATCTTGGCTGGCTAGGAACTATCTTCTGGGAGTGCCTGGCTATGCTGTACCTCTTGGTTATGAGGTTTAAGGCCAAGAGATACTTTAGTATGGATGTTGAGAAGCTGGAGCTACCTGCTTAGCCACGGGACAGACAGCAACTCCCGATTTATGTTCCATTCCCCGAAGTCCTTTACCATGACGAAATCATTTTCAAAATATCTTGATACTGCGGGCAATGGCGTGATACCTATGACTTGGTCTTCGGTCACCCAAGGAGCAAATAGTCCTGTCGCTATTGAACAGAATGCATGTTAACAAGTAACTATTAGACGCTCTTTAGCTAGAGCGACATCATACAAGCACCAACTAATCATAACATGAGGTAAGGTGGGTATCGCTAATACGTTCATAATCCACCCTTATTTGAAGAAGACATTGACCCCTGATCCTCAAAGCAGCAGCGCCGCAACACCACCAGCAACAGCAATCAGGCTCAAACCAGCGACAGCACCACCAGCAGTAGAAACAGTCGGTGCCGCCCCGGTCCCAGTCCCACTCGGCATCCCACTGCCCGTGCTAGTAACAGTCATGACACTCCCCGACGCATCGGTGGTAGTCATCGTCATCGTCATCTGCCCACCCGTGGTCGTAGTCATAGTCGCATTGCCGGTGGCCATGGTCGCATTCGCGGGCTCGACAACGTCCTCGTACAAACCGCACATCGCTCCCTCGGCAAGGGGGCAGTCGCTATCGATGCAGATAGCCTGCAGCTGCTTGCCCTGGGTAGGGATGACCTCCACGGCCGGGCTGCAGCGGACACCGAAGAGGGAGTTGAGCGCCGTGCCGACGGCCGTGATGTCCGACTCGGCCACGCCGAAGGACGAGGCGGCGAGGGCGACCTGGGTGATGAAGTACTGCACCTCGGCGTTGGAGAGGGCCATGAACTTGTGGGTCTCGTACATGGAGGCCGAGCCCGAGTAGGCGGCGAAGCCAGGGGTGGAGTACTGCGAACACTGGAGGAGGGCGCCGAAGAACTGGTAGAGGTGGGTCATCAGGAAGCTGGGAGGGCGTTAGTGTCCGGTCCAGGTAGGAAGGAGGTATAGTGAGAGGAAATGGGGAGAGGGAACCGGGCGAGAGAATCAGGAGAGGGGAGATGGTGAAGGCGAGGATGAAACCGGAGGAAATGAGTGAAGGGACTTACTATTGGTTGGACTTCTCGTCGTTGGCGGGCATGTTCTTCTGCAGAGGTTCCGCGCCGCCACCGTCTAGGAAGTTGACGGAACGTCCGGCGTTGCCGCCTTGGTTGGTCGAGGCTAGACCACCGGTGAAGTAGGGAGCCAGGTTTACGTCTTCGCCTTCGACGGTGCCTGGAGCGAGGATGCCGGCTACAGCGACGCCGACATTGGGCATGGTGTCTGTTGATCGATGAAGTCAGTGACGATGGTCAAGGTGATGATGCTACGGGTAGAGTAGAGAACTTGCAGTTTCCGATGACGACGGTGTTGACAAGCAGCGTCAAAAGGGTGTACTGGTTCTCGGCCGTGTTGTTGACGAGGAGGGCGGTGGTGTAGTAGTCGCAGATGGTCACGTTCTCTGGCCTCTGAGCAACAACACCGCTCGCAACCGCGAGGATGGTCGTAACTTTCTTGAACAGCATCTTGTGTGTAACGGGTAGTGTGATGGTTGGTTCGCTGAGAAGGAGGTTACCGTAGGGAGATGGGAGAGGGGAATCGTATCTCGGGCAGAGAACTGGGAGCACAGATCCTTATGAGGCAGCGGTGCCCTCTCCTCCCTTGCCCAGCTCGAGAGCATGCCCACAACAAGTCTCTCTGAGCTAGTTGCCAACCCGACGTGACATCCAGGTCCCCGAGCTACCGGATAGCCACGATCCCGTGTCCTTCACCCCGACGACAATCTGGGGAATCGCCAGCATACCAGCTGGAAGGCAGATCATTTCCGACCCCTGAAGGGTCTGGGCATCTCTTCAATCGTCCAGCATCACTGGGTCCCACGACTCAGACGCGGTGGCCCCTCGAAGTCCCTTGCATGTCGGCTTCAATATTCGGCCGAGTAGCCGTTGAATGCAGTCTGTCCCAGTCCAAGCCATCCAGACGAGCCTCGTGGTGTGGCCTTGGCGCCCCTGGGCTCCCCAAGCGGTATGTCGATGGCAGCTAACAAAGGATGTCAACACTCATCGACAAGACCCTGTAAGGGTTTGTCAGCCGCGCATGTCTAGACGAGCCAATGATAGGAGATGGATTTGACGAACCGGGAAGGTATGCTGCCCAGCCGCAGGACCCTTAGCGTTAGTCCCCGGGTGCACACCATACCGAGACACAGCTTCGGGGCGGAGTAAGCTTCCCCGGATTTGAATGACGTCGTCCATTTATAATAGCACCAAAAAAATTCACCGGCAGCGATGCGATGGGCGTCGTCGATTGCGCTGGGTGTGGGAAATGGCAGACTGTGCAGCCAAAGTACCTTCTGCAGCCCGGCGGACAAGCAAGAATGAGAAAGTAAAGATCAAAAAGTCTGGTGCCACCCAGGCCTCGACACTCTATAATGCGCCGGTCGCGGTTCCCGTCTTGTCGTCAGGTGCTTGCAACCGTGTCCGCAATGGCTGACGGGAGCCGGCGCGGATCCGGGTACCAAACTAACCACCAAAACCAAACCACCCTCTCAAACCACCACAACAATGCCAATTATGCTTCAGAACGGACGTTCTCGGCAGCAATCAACGGCTAGGCGAAGACAGAAAGAGAAAAAAGCAAAAAAGAAGGGCCTTGCCGGGATTCGAACCCGGGACCTCTCACAGATAGTCTTGACCCTGTTACGGGCCGGGAAGATGATTTCCCGAAGCGAGAATTATACCTCTAAACCACAAGGCCGTGCAATTGACGATAAAAGCCCGATTAAAGCGATCTAACAAGTTCGGCGTTGAGAAACTTGGCAGTGTTAAGAAGTGCGCGCAGCTGTGCGGACGGAACTAACAAACAGTTTTATTGGACCCGTTCGTGTGCGTGCGGAGATTTGAGAACCCGACTGAAGGGACTTACACCAGCCAGATCACAGTAGGGGGTAACCTCTCAGCATCATCTCGTACCTCTGCGCCCTCAACACAGTTGTTGAATCCAAAAATGCGCTGCCTGTCTCAGCGCTTCGCCATTCCCCAGGTATGTGGCCTCCACATTTCAATATCTCGGCGTATGGGGGTACCGCCCGCGAATTCGCCCTGCATGGCTGCATGCTCAGCTGCTGCAGCCACTGCGGCGCGTCTGCCAACCACAATGCTGACTTTGGAGACACCAACTTTCCCGCGTCGGGTGTCAAAGCCTTCTGAGAACTTCTGTTTTCTTCAGCCTGTTCATTCCTTCTTCAACATGCTGCTTCGTGCGCGGGGCGAGACAGTCCACAATGGCTGAGGACGACGGTGCTGGCGGACGCACTGCGCTGCAGCTTTCTGAGCAGCCAGTTGAGCCCGCAAATAATCTTTGGCACAAGGCTCTTCAAAGGCTACCAACAGAGCATCAAGCTTCCATCGCCGAGCATAAAGGCAATGCGTCATCCGGTCAGGACATCTTCGACCAGCTGCTGAAACTTGCAAGCGAGAAGCACGCTCTTACCGCTACAAAAGCATGGAAACTTAAGCCACTACAATGCGCAGAAAGGCCGACGACAGAACACAACGGACCGGCTTCTAGCTAGGGAGGAGTTTATGGAAAGGCGGAACTCGCCGGCATCGGTTATCTTTTGGTTGCATAGTATTCATATGTTGATGCTCGAAACAATGCTCCGTATCCCCTTGGGTTCTGCTGACGCGTATTCTTTAGCCGGCGCGGGAAAGACCAAGTTGTCTTCGAAAGTTGTCGACGATATCCGAAGCCGCCTCGTTGATCCTGAGGACCAGGAGACACTCGCACATTTCTACTGCGACGCCAACAGGTCCAGCCATAGAACCGCTCTAGCGATTCTACGAAGCTTGGTCAAGCAACTCTCCGCACCGATACGAAAGGTACATGCCAATTGCATCATATCAGCTGTGGCAGATATGTACCGCAGCAAGCAATCTCATGGCTTTCCATCAGACGGACTTACTGTTGAAGATTGCCAGAGTCTGCTGCCCGATCTTATCGACTCGTCCCCCCGGGTACAGTTGTGATCGACGGTCTTGACGAATGCCAGCGTAGCGACCGCCAGGATATCATGCAGACCATCGACGGCCTTCTGGGATCTGCTGACGGGTTACTGAAGGTCTTCATTGCGAGTCGCAACGACACCGACTTGGCGGAGCACTACAGGCACGGTTACCATGTCGAGGTGTGCTGCAATGACAAGAGCGATGACATTCAGAGATTCGTCGCGTCGAAGCTTCAGCAGAACACATGGTGTCAGCGGCACATTCTAAAGAACGTGAGGGATCGGGTATTAGAAACGTTCAAACGGAAGAGCCAGGGCATGTTGGTGACCCTACTCCTTGGCCTTGAATCGAGACAGTCGTGTCGAGCGAGCTGACCAGCATTCACAGGTTTCAATGGGCCGCACTTCACATCGAGGAACTGTTAGACCTTAGAGACAATGTCGACATCCAGACATATGTCGATGCACTTCCGGACGACCTCAAGAGTGCCTACGACAGGGTGTGGCAGACCATTCAGACGAAGCGGGGACGGGCCAGTGTCATTTTCCAACGCGCATTTCAACAGCTGATGGTATCCTGGATGCCGCTTTCGCCAGAGCTCCTCAAGCTCACAGTCTGTCAAGATCCTGCGGCGGACTTCTGCCCCAACGTCGACATCACCATCGAATACATACTCGATGCTTGCCACAACCTTATCAAGTTGGACCGGACCGAGTCGCGCAGCGGCGGTGATCAGCACTGATCTACGCACCCTACTTCAGCCACCTCGAGGCCGTCCAGCTTCTCCTCCAGCACGGCGCGGATATCAACTTGAGAGTCGACGGCCCGTACCCTACCGCACTCTGCGCTGCGGCGCACGAGAAAAGGCATTACCGCAGTGACTCAGAAGTGTTTTGGTTTCTGTTGAAGTCCGGCGCGGAAGCAGATGTTGTGGGCGGAAGCGATGGCTCGACCCCGGGAGCCGCCATCACGTCGATGTCACGCCCTGATGAGAAGGTACGGGCCTTACTGGAGGCCGGTGCCGTCTTCCGTACCGAAGACTGCCGCGGGATCACGCTGACCAACGAGGTCGGGCAGTACTGTGGGAGGAACTGGAAGTTGTGGTGTATGAGCATAGGCTGTGCATGCCGGATAAATACACCGTGCGGAAATCGCTGACATATATACCGAATAAGGGTCTTCGTAAGAAAGGGCGATTGAGTCGGCAAAAATCCAGATACCCCGCGATGCAACGTCGCTGGAGGCTGCATCGGCGAAGAGTGACAAGGATATGGAGTTACTTAAGACACACATGGACCGCAGGATGTTGAGGAAACGTCGAAGCAGCCGAACAGTCGGAAGCTAGCGACCATGAACTTTCTCTCGCTCCTTGCCGTTCTCACCGGTGTCCTGATGCACGTTGGCACCGGCAATGCTGGGAACTCTACCTACTATAACCCCGTCCTACCAGGATGGCACTCGGACCCGTCATGCTCGCAGGTGAACGGCACCTTTTACTGCGTAACGTCGACATTCATCGCCTTTCCTGGCCTCCCAATCTATGCGTCCAAGGATCTGGTTAACTGGAAACTAATTAGTCACGCCTGGAACCGCGACAGCCAGCTGCCCGGCGTCAGCTGGGGTACATCGCAGCAGCAGCAGGGGATGTTCGCTGCCACCTTGCGATACCGCGAGGGGACCTTCTTCGTCATCTGCGAGTACCTTGGCACATCGACGGGAACGCAGGGCGTTGTCTTTAAGTCTATCAACCCCTTTGACGACAGCGCCTGGTCTGACCCGGTCATCTTCCGTCCCAATTTCATCGATCCTGACCTCTTCTGGAACGAGGACGGGAAGTCGTACAGTGCCACCCAATCCGTCATCCTCCAGACTCTTAACCTCGACACTGGCGCCCTTGGCCCTGCAGTCAGTCTCTGGAACGGAACTGGGGGGGTATGGCCTGAGGGGCCTCACCTCTACAAGAAGGACGGGTACTACTACCTCCTCATAGCCGAAGGTGGTACGGCGACCGACCACTCCGTGACAATGGCCCGTGCTAAAGAGCTTGACGGGCCGTACGAGGCATACGCACACAATCCTGTCCTGACGGCGCGCGGATCGGACGAGTACTTCCAGACTGTTGGCCACGCCGACCTCTTCCAGGACACCAATGGCAACTGGTGGGGCATGTGCCTCGCGACTAGGTCTGGTCCCGAGTGGACCATCTATCCCATGGGACGCGAGACGGTGCTTTTCCCCGTAACGTGGAGGGAGGGTGAATTCCCCATCGCCTCAACTGTGCGTGGCGAGATGTCGGGCTGGCCGCTGCCCAAGCCAACGAGGGACATAGCCGGCGACGGACCCTTCAACGCCGACCCGGACTTGTACGACTTCAACAGTACCGCAGCCACCATCCCTAAGCACTTTGTGTACTGGCGCGTCCCCCGAGCGGGTGCCTTCACGCCGACAGCCAAGGGCCTGCAGGTGGTGCCGTCACGGAACAATTTGACCGGCCAGATGTCTCCCGTCGAGTTGACAGGCCAGGCAGGGTTGAGCTTCATTGGCAGGCGCCAGACAGACACGTTGTTCAACTTCTCGGTCGACGTGACATTGGCGCCGGGCAGCCGGGACACCGAGGCGGGTGCTACTGTGTTCCTCACGCAGTATCAACATCTCGATCTCAGTGTCATGCGCGCAGGCGGAGCACTCTCACTCCGCTTTCGTGCCGAGGCGCAGAGCGTGTCCGTCCCGCCACCCGCGCCCGTGACCGTCGCACTGCCCGCATCGTGGGCGGCATCCGCGGGAGCTATTAGGCTGGAGATCCAGGCCGCAAACAGGACACACTATACTTTCACGGCGGCGCGTGTGTCATCTGAGGACAAAGTCGCCGAGTGCTCGAGGAAAACGGTAGCCGTCGCGTCGGCGCAGCTGGTGAGTGGCGGCACGGGCAGCTTTGTTGGCTCCCTCGTCGGTGTTTACGCCACGTGCAACGGGGCGGGGTCTGGCACGAGCTGTCCTGAGGGCGGCGACGCATATTTCAGGCGGTGGAGGTACACGGGGCAGGCCCAGGCAATCAGTGCAACCGAGGAAGTCCCTTCGGACAGTTATAGACTTGCATGGAAGGGATCTTAGAGGAGGGACGGCATGGCCCGTAGTCGAGGGTCTAGTGCATGAAAAGATTTGTTCAATGACAACAAGTTGAAATCTCATGGAGCAGAAACGGTTGCGACTTATCCACATGCAGCTCCATTCTCTATGCATACACTTAATACATCGGTGTCCCTCCAATGGTATAATGTCCTCTCTTTCCCATCTTCACACCATTCGGAAACACAACTTTGAGTAACCTATTGACCCGAGGTATCAGTGGCTGGTTGTATGGCGCGAAATTCTCCTCGGCGGTTCTGATGACCCTAGAACAATTGCGTGTCGATGATTGCCTACAGGACACTTAGGGGGATGGGGTCAAGAGGACCTCCTTCAAATAAGGTACCTACACTAATTCCCCGCTTCGCCATTGCCATGGATTTCTTCACTACGCGGTTACTTTTACCAGCCCGTCGTTGCCATTACGAGAAATCTTCAAGTGGTTGGTGTACCTAAATACTGGGTGGAAGGGGCAATGTTTCGCGAGCTCTTGGGTGCACATGCTCGGTTGCGCTCAGCGGTGGATGACGATGCCGGCGCCGTCTCCGGGACTGATCGGACTGGGCATCCGGAGTAGTGCCTGCTTGACTCTTGGCAGGATGTCCCGATGGGGGAGGTGGAGCA